ATACGCTAATTCCCATAGTGGAATTTTACCTTACTGGATACCCTAAGTCACTCCCCTCACTCTAAAACTGTTTACACTATACTGATTATAATTTAAAAACTTAATTCTCCTTCCGTTAATCCCCTACGTCTCTTTATCTGTGAATTCCTTTAAATTTATTTTAGGATTTATTTGATTATTAATTATATTGCTCTGTATAAATAAAATACATCGAGCTCTTTTTGTGGATCAGTTCTAATATTTTTATATTACTAGGATCCACTTGCATTATATAGCAATTTTTTTTTTATATATATATATATATATATATATATATATATATATGTATATGTATATGTAAGCAAATATATGGATATAAATCCGACAGTATGAAGAAAAATATATACGGAAAAAACAAACAAAAATCTTATATACAATTATGCTGTAAACAGCATAATTGTATATATTTTGTTTGTTTTTCATATATTTTTCTTCATATATATATATATATATATATATATATATAAACAGAGAGAGAACAGATGGAGTAAAACTCTACAATTCGTAGCATTTACTTTTTTTTAAAAAAAGTTAATACAAAGTAGAGCAAAATATTATAATATTTTTATTATAATAGATTATAATAAAAACATTTTACATTGGTACACAAAAGCTTTCATGTTTCAATACTATGGTTGTACTTCGTCAGGTGATGGTAGATAATTTGTGATAAAAAATGATTTATTTGGGAAATTGAAAACAAATCGTTACCTCTTTTCGGGAGTTAAGAGTGGGGAGCATAAGGTCAGAAAAGAGGTAACGATTTGTTTTAAATTCCCAAATAAATCATTTTTTTTATCCAAATTATCAACCATTGCCTGACGAATATATATATATATATATATTATGATTGACCCTAACGTAATCACTCACTTTACAATAGTCAACTTACTTACAACTAATCAACTTACTGCATAAAGTTGACGAGACTCGATAATCTTTTCACTACCAATTATATAGATTCTCGAGAAAGATTTGAACGACAGGGGGGAGGGGGGTACCAGGTATAGGAAGACGTTAAGTTATTTTTACAAGTGAGAAGAGATTGCCAACCACACCTCATTGAAAATCAGCATTTGAAATACTGTTTTATATATGAGTTTGCACAATTTTCACTTCAGTGTCCTCCAGTTGAATAGGTCATATATAGGTTGTATACGTTAAAGCTATGTGTATGCAGATTTTGCTGCATAGGTAATATTTCCAGGCAGTGGTTTTTACGCGCTCATTCAATGATAAATTATTCAAATTATAGCAAAAAGAACAGCCCAATAGGCAGATTACAAATTAGAGATATCAAAATCAAACAAGTATAACAATTTAAATATCTGTGAAGTGTTTTAGCAGAGGACAGAAAGTGCGACAATGAAATCCGATGGTACATTGGGATAGTGAAAGATGCTTTTCAAAAACTAAGCAATGAAAACTGAAAGTTTTTGTCAGAAGCGAAGAAAAAATACTGAATTACAGTAGAATTCCTAACAACCATATTAAGAAGCCCTTCCGGATATGAGGAATTGTTTACAAAGTCCGGATATGAGGGATTATATTTAGATTAAAATAAAAACTGAAATCAGGTTTAACATTTATTTTCAATGTTTTATAGTAAACAAAATAAGCTAATGGTGAGTGAAATATAACGGAATTGATTTTAAAGAAAAAAAATTATGTAATGTTAATGAAAGTTCATTAAATTAAGTATGCCACGTATGCAAAACAAATAATGTAACGAAGATTTTTAATCGCTTTTGCATGATGATTCTTTCTCTTCTAATGTCATTCTCAACTTTTTCCGCATTCCGTTTGGCTTTTGTTCTTGAAATTTTTAAACGAAATATACTTTTTAACTCTACGTGCGTTATTGCAATCGTCAGAGCTGAATGCTGGCTTTCTTTCCATAAAACTGACAACCGTTTCAATAGCTTTTTCAATTTCAGTCCAGGTTTCATCACAATCATGCATCTCATCGCTATTTTGTTGCAGATGTGTCTCGTTGTCATCCTTTCCTCTTATTCCCATCATCTTTTGCACCAATACAAGCCATTAGAGGAAAATAAGCATAAGCAATTATCCAAAGAATTCAAGTATACACATCAAAATCATGTCCGGATATGAGGCACTCCAGATATGAGACACTCCGGATATGAGGGATTCCGGATATGAGGGATTCCGGATATGAGGGATTCCGGATATGAGGCACTCCGGATATGAGGGATTCCGGATATGAGGCACTCCGGATATGAGGGATTCCAGATATGAGGCACTCTGGATTTGAGGGATTCCGGATATGACGAATTCTACTCTATTACGTAATATCAACTCTTCTATATGTCTATGAAAAACTGGATAACGCCATTACAGATAAAGAAAAGACTTTAAGCAACAGAAAGGTGGTTCTACTGAGGACACCATGGACCGAACATCTGAACATCAACAAGGTTTGGGAGAAAATGGCAACAAAAAGGAAACATATACTTAACATCAGAAATAATTGAAATTTCTAGGGCACATAATCAGGAAAGGGGACTTTTTTATACTCACAGGACAGATTGAAGTCAAGAGGGACAGAGGAAATAACGTATCTAGCGAGCTTAAGTAAATGGATGACGGAAAAAGGTTTAGGAGAGGTAACAAAAAGAAAAAAAAAAGTGCTACAAAGGACTGGAAATTGTTGAGAGTCATGATCGCCTATGTCCTGAAGGAACACGGCACATAGAGGAAGAATATGCCTGTTTCGAAATGTCTTATAATAATAAAATACCTATAACTGGATTATATTAACAATGAATATTTGATATCAACTAGTTGACCAACATTCGTACATATTTTTGAAAATCTTAGAACGGCACAGAAAAAAAAGAGACAGATTTTATTAAGCTAACGTTTTAAGCTGTTAAATCTGTGCGTTTTCCACTGATACCAGATCTTTTTATGTGCCGTGTCCCTTCAGGGCATGGGAGATGATTGCTCACCACGACTGCTTCTTTGTAGCTCTAAATAGTCTTTGACTCCATCCCATCCCTCACAGTTCATTTACAAGCTCGTTAGGTACGTTACTGTTTCCCTCTGCTCTTCAATATATCATGTGAGTGTCCTTTTCCCCCAAGTCCTTTTCAGTGGAAAATACGTAATTATTTTAACCATGAGTTAAGCCACTTTTACTCAGTTTAGCTTCATCTGAGACAAGGTAATCAGTGAAATTTCCTCCAGTTGTTATAGCCTATGAGACGAGCTTGTAAGCCTCTATTACATGGCGATGTGTACTTCTTTTAAAATCTTTTGTTATAGTTTTTTATACATGTTTATATTTATTAAGCTTAGTACAGTATAGTGCATGTTCAAAAGACGGAGAATCTAGAATAGAAGATAGTGTTTCACTGATATTCAAAGTAGGTAAAGCCTACATCCGCATTCGAATTCATTTTACTTGAGTTCGTAAAATGGTTATAAGCTGAAAATATATATAACTTTTGCAGCTTCTTTTTTTATTATTTTCTATCGAAGTTATACAGAGTGTCTTACAAATAAAGAAAATATTTTAAAAATTTACGCCTAGCCTTTCCAGAAAATAGTCGTCTCTTAGAATTCCTGAAAATAATGACCATTTAGCTTTCCTGAAAATACATTCTGTCGGAAGTTCGTATGAAAATCACATAAACCTCAATAACTCAAATTTGCTTTGAACAATTTTTCTCAAATTTTAAATGAGACGACAAAATAAAGCTTCAGTTAAATCTTCAGGTAGTTTCACCATGTTTTATTAAAGTTATCGGATTTATTATAAAAACTGCAGACTGAAGTTATTATGCAGATTAAACTAATATTCATTTAAGGCCTCTTGAATCTAAACTATTTTTTCTTTTTTCCATAATATATATTGAAACATATATATATATATATATATATATAAATTGAAACATTGTCATTCTTAAAACAATTAAAGCCCTGGATCAAACTTGTCAGTGATGGTCATACTCGTTTAAGGAGTCACTAGTCATCATATGTAAAATAAACAAAATAACAGGTGAAGGGAAAATATGTAGAACAAAGCCTACCAATACAAAGCATGCAAAAAAGAAACATGGCCAACGTATCTTAACAAACATCAACACTGTTCACTATCAAGTTCTGAATGTATCTGAAGGACTACCCTAAAGATATTTATTAATTCTACCTTAGTCTGGCACAAGGTTTTAGTAAAGGAGAACCGAGTGCAGTTCAAAGTATTACATACAATTGCTCTACAATAGGCGCCTGAAATATTTATTAAGCTGTTATAGCGTCACCCAGTGAATTAATGCCGTCAAATTGGCGGGAAAGAGAGAATATATTGATAAGTATTGATGACGATACCTGAGGAATTCTATTGAATCTAATCCGTTCTTAATGTATCAGCTGTTCGCATTAAGTTGTATAGCTGGCCACTCGTATTCGAGGATACCTGTCTACTAGGACGGCTAGCCAATCCCTATTGCAGATGCTTGCTCAGGCGCATTTGTGTTTATTCAACACCCACAGAGCCCACCTGTGTTTTATACTGCAACTATGCTGAGCAAACCTTAGTTACAATTTCTGGGCAAGAGAGTGTTATCTAGCGTGATCAACAACTTGAAGAAAGCCCTCGGCCAAGGCCAAGGGTTCCATCTACCCAATTTCACTCACAAGGGTCAACCTGTGGTATGATTTTCAGGCACTTTCCAAAGATACTGCACGCTGAGGTTGACTCCTCCAATCCAATAACATCAGGAACTCTTCTTCCTGACAAATCGACCATGGTGAGATTTGAACCCGAGTCTCATGGCTAGAATGCAAACGTTCTAATCACTCGGCCACTTGCTCATAATTAAGTTGTAACACAAACAAAAAACTACACATGTACACTTGCACAAACTTGGAAAAAATGTAAGTTATAGAAATTGGTACCTGGCAAATTTAGGAAGAAAACTCTGTAACTTTTGGGCTTAACGAGATAGATAGATAGATAGATAGATAGATAGATAGATAGATAGTGAACGGACTGAGATAGATAGATATGAATGAATGAATAGATGATAGATAGATAGATGAATAGTGAACGGACTGAGATAGATAGATAGATAGATAGATAGATAGATAGATGAATAGTGAACAGACATAGATAGATAGATAGTGAACAGACTGAGATAGATAGATAGATAGATAGATAGATAGATAGATAGTGAACAGACTGAGATAGATAGATAGATAGATAGATAGTGAACAGACTGAGATAGATAGATAGATAGATAGATAGATAGATAGATAGTGAACAGACTGTGATAGATAGATAGATAGATAGATAGTGTTTTGGCTTTGTTAGAGCCAGAAATAAAGACACAGAGAGGAATTGAGTTAAACAAATATATTAACAGAAACAGTAATACAAACATCTACAAACGAGAGTGTTACAGCAAGAATGTACGATCCGACTGTCAGAGCTGACTGCTGGAAACTTCCCTCTTCAAAAGGCAGTACCTGCTTCTATTTATAGCTAAGAGAGTTCATACGTGCGTGGGTAAATTACTGTAACAGATTTTATGCTTCTTGTTGATGAGCATGTCTTTTGTCTTGTTACTCATATTTTTACGCATTTCTGCTTTATCTGTGATATTCATTCTTTCTCTTTCTGCACATTTTTCGTTGAGCCTGTTCCTTATTTCTTTATACACTATTTAGATTATTCGGACTATTTTCCTCATCTTTGTCGCCATATTTATTACAACGTTTCGACCGTTATACGCTCAGGACTTCTTTAGGTGGTTGGAATGTCGAACTGAACACTTTATTTCGCTCACTGGGGTAGAAAGTTCTAGTTCCACGTGCCATGTTTAATGGATGTCAGTTATCCCCTGTTAATTCCCCTCTGAAAGTTCTCCACTGCCTTAACCGAGTATTGAACTCACACTCTTTGGGTCCTGTCACTGGATCTAACTAACGCCTTTATCCACTGTGCCATGTGTCCTTGAAGAAAGCCGGGGTGTACAACGACCGAAACGTTGTAATAAATATGGCGACAAAGATGAGGACAATAGTCCGAATAATGTAAATAGTGTACATAATACATCATCTCAGAAATATAGACAGATACTGAAAGGCTGAAACGGTGTAATAAATATGGCGACAAAGATGAGGACAATAGTCCAAATGATATAAACAGTGTACATAATACCTCATCACAGAAATATAGACAGTTATTTCTTTGTGTCTTATATTCTGTTTCATGTCTTTTGTCTCCTTTTCAGTATGTCGAGAATTTCATCTGTCATCCATTGATTCTTTTTTCGTCTTTTTCCTTTTCGGATGATTTTGTTTGCTGATATCATTAAAGCTTCTCGAGTTTCTATTCTGCTTTTGTCCTTTATATCTACTTTCCACACTGAGCATATATTTCTCCTTCAGTTTCTGCTCGTTCAATAGTCTGTCGTTATGCGATTTGGGTCTTGTCTTTGTCCACTTCTGTTTCCGTAGTTTCATTCAAAGTTTACATATCACTGGAAGGTGATCGCTTCTATAGTCGGCACTTGGATATGGTTTACACTTTAAAGCTGCATTCCTGAATCTCTTGTTGACAGTTATAAACAACCTAAAAACTAATAAAAACCGGGCACTTCTCATAATCCTCCAATAGCATATAATACACAAAGGGGAGTACCACCTCGGCTTATGGTATTAAACCACCAGATACCATGCAGTGGTGATCTCTATGTCCCTAATGCTTATATCTACATATACTCCGATATTGAACACTCAATACAAACAATATATATATATATATATATATATATATATATATATAATTATTTAATTAATATTTTTATATATCTTTTATGTATTTTAAATTTTTAATTTTAATCTATTTAACTTACTTTTATTTTATTGATGTCAAATATTAATATTATTATAATTATTAAAAATTTGAAGCTCTCAATACAATATATATATATATATATATATATATATATATATATATATATATATATATATATATATATATATATATATATATATGTATGTATGTATATCTATATACAATGGGTGTCAAATTTTAAATATGTGTATCTCAAAACTCTTATCGAGACATGAATAAATATCAGAGCTGGGCGTGTTCATCAAAAGCATTTGATAAGGCTCAACCCGAAGAGTTGAAATATTAGAAAAGCATGATTTACATGAAAAAGATAAATTCTACTGGGAACAATCAGCCTGCATACGAATAGGGAACGAGTTTAATGAATACACAGAAATAGAAAGAGACGTGCGACATTTATTTTTCTCATTGGATTAATTTAAGCTCCACAGAAAAACGATTCTAAGAGAGCTAGAATGCCTACCAGGATTTGTAATTGGCAGATATAATCTTACAAACATTCGCAGAAGACACTGTGCTGGTGGAAGATTCAGAAAGAAAACAGGAAGAATTATTGGACAAAGCAGTCAAGGAAAGCGAGAAGAAAGGACTAACTATTAACTGTAAAAAGAGTGTCTATATGCTTGGTCAGTAGAAGAGACATCCCAAAGTGTGAGTTACATGTTGGGAGCATCAGAATCTATCAGGGTATAGTAATAAAAGACACAGAAATTCGAAGGCGAAAATGCCTTTCAGAAGCTAAGCAAAATACTAAGAGATAAGAAAATGCTTTTAGAAATAAAGTAAAGAGTGTTGAATATGTGCTTCGTAATATCTAATCTTCGAAATGGTGGTGAATGTTGGACATCTATTCACAAATGACAAAAAGACAGAGACGTGGTTCTACCGACGAATGCTGAAAATTCTATGAACTGAACATTTGAACAATGATGAAGGTTTAAAGAAAAGCGGTACAAGGAAATTTATACTTTAAATAAGAAAAAGACGACAGAAGTTTCTTAAACACATAATGAGGAAAGAGGGATTGGAGAATTTAAAACTCACAAGACAAGAGAAACTGCCAGTAACTAACTTACATATAAAGAAGCATAATAAAGTCAATTCAATCGACAAAAGACAAAAGTTGTGGAGAACCATGATTTCTCACATTATGAAATACCATAACATAATGAAGAATAAGAAATAAAATTGATTGGCTTCGAATTACGATAAATTCATTACACTCTTAACTAGTCGTATTATTATTTGAAGCGCCCAAATAAACAGTATTTTACAAAATATTACGAATAAAGCGAGAATTAAAGCTTCTAATGACATTATTGACAATATTTATCTCTTTCACTGTTTTATTACATAATTAAATGGTTATTGTAATTATTAGACGTTTCCCTATAAGGAAACATTTGGCCGGTACTGCTTTCGCTTGAAATTTATAAAATCTTTATCAAAAGAATTTTTCTGGAAAATAAGTTTCTCGCGTCCAGTAGCTGTTATCGCTCTTTACAGTATTGATGTGGGTTTCCTTCTTATTTGAACTAGTGTAAAATGTCAGCATCTTAATTATGTCATTATTTTTCTCTTCGAGATGTATGTGCCCCAAGAATACAGTACACTCCGTATAAATGGGACCTTCAAGGAGCATGAAAAATTGTCCCACTTAGCAAATGTTCTACTTAAAATGAGCTCCATATATTGTGGGCTCAAATGAAGAAAGGTTTTATCAAATGTTAGAATACATGAAAAAGCACTGTTAGATTCAATATAGCCAAACAGTTTTAAGGCCAATGGCCAATAGATAAAAGCATTTGCGGAAATAAATATCATATAGTGAAAACAAATGTGTTTATTTACATCTTTTATTTTCTGAAAAATTCCAAAACCTTCAAATGAGGTAATAGGCATTAAGTTTTTCATATTTTTTTATTGTTTAATTTTTGCTTTACCACAGATATATCTGCCATGATGGTACCCCGTGATAAAAAATGTGATTGAATTTTATATTCGAAACTAAAAATCGAATCTAGCAAAATTTTGTCGAAGTCCCATTTAAACCTGGAAATTTTGCGACCGAACAAAAAAATCGTTCCGATGAACGAAAGTCCCAATTAAGCAGTAACTCACTAAATGGGAGAAATTCCGATGTTTGATACATGGCGACCTGGTGGGGTAATAAATCTTCTAACTCAGCGAAAAGTATCAATTACGCAGAGAAATTAAGATATTTGCGACATGACAACCTAGGGGATAATAAATCGTTCACTTAACGATAGTCCCACTCAACTAAATTTCCGCTTATATGAAGTGTACTGTAGAAAGTGTCCTTCATATTCTTTTGTCAGTTTTGGTCTCTGTAACGATTTCATTACGATTCGTTAATATCTTAAAGTATAATCATTATAAAGGTTCTCATAAATGATTACTATCTACAAACTATCTTTTTTCTTTTCTAATTATTAATGATGTTTGCTGACCTTCTAGGATTCGAACCAGACCACCAGTGTGAGACGTTGGATAACCATACCATCGAAAGCTACCATCGTAAAATGGGAAATTTCACTGTTGAAAATTATGAAAAGTGCACTATAAAAATACAAGAAGGTGAAAACTTCCAATTCCTGGTTTGTCCTGGGAATTACAACTACACAGCTGCTAAATATACGTCTTTTGTATCTGAGGTGAGTTTGAATCGTTAAAACTTTGTTTTTTTTTTTTAACACTTAAATTAACTGTGGGGGACACCATCTTCCTTTTGACAATGACCCGTCAAAGATCTTTCGTTCCGCATAGCATGTCCGGGAATATTAACGAAAACATAGCATGCATCTGGAAATGGGGACTTATTCCTTTTAGAAATAGTCCCTTCAAGACCTCCCACATTTATCTCAGCATACCTTCAAGTTTTCAAAACAGTAAGCAAAAGTTTTTCAAGAGCACCATCTTCTGACTGGTCCTGATCTCCTTAATCTTATCCATGGCATTCCAGTGGCGTTTAGCTCTGAGTAAAGCCAGAAGTCGCAAAGCGACAAATCTGAACTAAAGGTAATTGGAGTTACGCAATGTTACCCACCTCCTACATCACCACCACCACCATCACCACTACCCCCCCCCCAAAAAAAAGAAAAAAAATTTCATCACGGGAAATCTCGTTACTGACTGAATAATTCCACATAAGTGTTTCTGTTCACGCTCCCTTTATGATTGTTTACCAAGTTACATCGAAGCCTGGCAAACAAGTCTGAAGATCGTCAATATGGTTGGATACTTTCTGGACATACCTTCAATTTGTACATTGTTGATACCAGAATAAAATTATCGTTTGTCCAAACGGCCTGTACTTATTTTGTTTCTCTTGTTCTCTTGCCTGACGTACGAAGATGAAGTGCCATCGTTATTATGTGTTAAATCCAAAATTGTTCAGTAATTGCAAAGGCCGAGAATGTAGT